GGGTGAAAAATAGGTGGGAAAATGGGAAATTAAAAAGGCATGGGAAGCACGGGAATGGGTGAAAAACGCATGGAAAACAAAAAAAAATGGGTAAAAATAGGTGGGAAAAATAGAAATTGGGTAAAAAATACATGGGAAGCATAAAAAAGGGTAAAAATAGGTGAGGAAAATAGAGAATTAATAAAAAAAACCTCATGGAAAGCATAGAGAATGGGTAAAAAACACATGGAAAACAGAAAATGGGTAAAAAATAGGTGGGGAAAATTGAAAATTCATAAAAGAGCACATGGGAAACACAGAAATGGATAAAAAAAGGCATGGGAAACATGGAAAATGAATAAAAACGACAGAAAATTCATGAAAAGCACGTGGGAAACATAGAAAATGGGGAAAATACATGGAAAATAGAGAAAATGGGGAAAAATACACGGAAAATAAAGAAAATGGGGGAAAATACATGGAAAATACAGAAAATTGGTAAAAAATACAAGGGAACATAGAAAATTCATAAAACCACACAGAAAACACAGAAAATGCATGTGTGAGTGCACGGGAAAGGCAGGAAATACACCCAAAATACACCCGAAATACACCCAAAATACACCCGAAATACACTCAAAATGCACCTGAAACAGACCTGAAATACACCCAAAATACACCCAAAATGCGCCTAAAATACATTAGAAATACACTTAAAATGCACCTAAAATACACCCAAAATACACCCAAAATACACCCAGAATACACCCAAAGTACACTCGAAACACACCCAAAGTACACCTAAAATGCACCCAAAATACACCTGAAATACACCCAAAATACACCCAAAATACACTATAAATACACTTAAAATGCACCTAAAATACACCCAAAATACACCTAAAATACACCCAAAATACACCCAAAATACACCCAGAATACACCCAAAGTACACCCGAAACACACCCAAAGTACACCTAAAATGCACCCAAAATACACCTGAAATACACCCAAAATACACCCAAAATGCAACCCCATAATAACCCAGAATACACCCAGAATACACCCAAAATACACCTGAAATGCAGGAAATGTACCCAAAATACACCCGAAATACACCCAAAGTACACCCGAAATACACCCGAAATGCACCCCAAATACACTCGAAATACACCTGAAATACACTCAAAATACACCCAAAATACACCCAAAATACACTATAAATACACTTAAAATGCACCTAAAATACACCCAAAATACAACCAAAATACACCTGAAATACACTCAAAATACACCCAAAATACACCCAAAGTACACATAAAATACACTCAAAATGCAGGAAATGCACTCAAAATACAGCTGAAATACACACAAAATACACCCAAACTACACTTGAAATGCACCCAAAGTACACCCAAAATACATGTGAAATCACCCAGAATGGACCCAAAGTACACCTAAAATACACCCAAAATGCAACCCCATAATAACCCAGAATACACCCAGAATACACCCAAAATACACCTGAAATGCAGGAAATGTACCCCCGAAATGTACCCCCGAAATATACACCCGAAATACACCCAAAGTACACCCGAAATACACCCAAAATACACCCCAAATACACTCGAAATACACCTGAAATACACTCAAAATACACCCAAAGTACACCCAGAATACACCTGAAATACACCCAAAGTACACCCAGAATACACTTGAAATACACTCAAAATGGACCCAAAGTACACTCGAAATACACCCAAAATACAGTCGAAATGCAGGAAATACACCCAAAATACTCTGAAATTCACCTAAAATACACCCGAAATGCACCCAGAATATACCCAAAAGACACCCGAAGTACACATAAAATACACCCGAAATGCACCCAAAATACAGACACGGATGCACACACGGATGCACACGCATGGAGTGAGCACACGCGTGATTTCCACGCGCACGGGGTGAGCACGCGGGGTGTGCACACACAGCTCACACTCACTGGCTGTTCACGCCTGCACAGAGCTCACACCCGCAGGATCGCACACGAGGCCTGAGCTCACACTCACACACACAGAGCACACACACACACACACACACACACAGAGCTCACACTCACACAGGATCACACACAGGGATCACACACACGGAGCTCACACTCACACACAGAGCACACACACACACACACACACACAGCGTGCACACATACACACAGCGTGCACACACGCACACACACTCACAGGGCACACACACAGGGATCACACACATGAACCGAGCGTGGACACTCACAGAACACACACTCACACACGGAGCTCACACTCACACTCACACAGGATCACACACGGAGCTCACACACACACAGGATCACACACAGAGCTCACACTCACAGGGCACACACACAGGATCACACACAGAGCTCACACTCACACAGGATCACACACAGGGATCACACACATGGATCACACTCACAGGGCACACACACAGGATCACACACATGAACTGAACGTGAACACTCACAGAACACTCACACATGGAGCTCACACTCACAGGATCACACTCAGGATGCTCACACGTGCACAGAGCTCACACACACTCACAGGGCATACGAGCATGCACTGAGCACAAGCACACACACACAGAGCTCACACTCACACAGGATCACACACGGAGCTCACACACGGGGGTCACACACGGGGTGGTCACACAGGCCCTGAGCACAGGCCCTGAGCTCACACACAGAGCTCACACTCACACACAGAGCTCACACTCACACATGCACAGAGCTCACACCTGAACACTCACACCTGTCTGGGCCCTGCACACTCACTGTGCACACTCACACCTGCACACTCACACCCGTGCACACACACTCACACCTGTACACGCACACACCTGCACACACTCACACTCACACCTGCACACTCACACCTGGCCGGGCCCTGCAGACCCCACACGTTCCCCCCTCCCCAACACCAGACCCCCGGTACCGGGGGGGTCCCCGAGCCCCAGGATGGCGCCGGGAGGGACCCAACCCCCTTCCCGCCATCCCCTTGCACACCCCCCTTGCACACCCACACCCCCCTGGGCTCGCTGCGGGCGCGGCGGCGGCACCGGCCGCAGGTACCGGGGGGGGTCCGGCCTGGGGGGGCTCCGGGACCGCGGGGAGGGGGCCGGGAGATCCCCCCGCTGCTGCCGCCCGGTGCCGGCCCCGCGGGACGCAGCGGGGACAGCGCGGGGACAATCCCGGGGGGGACAATCCCGGGGGAACAATCCCGAGGGGACAATCCCGGGGGGACAATCCCGGGGGTGCCACTCCCCACGCGTCGCTCACGGGAACTTGGGGAGAAGTTGCCCCGCGCGTCGTGGCGGCTCCATCCCGCTTCCTTCCCGGTTCTTTCCCGGTTCCATCCCGGCGCCGGTCGCCGTTCCATCCCGGTTCCATCCCGGTTTCACCCCGGTTCCACCCCGGCTCCATCCCGGTTCCACCCCGCCCCGGTGCCGGTTCTATCCCGGTTCCGGTGGCGGCTCCCTGGCGGCTCCATCCCGGCTCCGGTTACATCACCAGCTCCCACCCGGCTCCGGTCCTGGCTGCTGCAGGAGCTCCGCTCTGACTCCGTGCCCGGCTGCGCTCCCAGCCCCGTGCCCGCCTCCGCTCCCGGTACCGGCTCCGGCCCCTTCAGCACCAGCGGCTCCGGCTCCGTCCCCTCCGCCCTCGCCGGTCCCGGCTCCGCCCGCGGCTCCGGCCCCAGCCCCGCCGCCGGTCCCGTCCTCGGCCGCAGCCCCAGCCCCGCTCGCGGTGCCGCCGCCGGCTCCGCCCGCAGCCCCGGCCCCATTCCCGGCTCCCGATCCCATTCCTGGGCTCATCCCGGCCCATTCCCGGCTCCCCATCCCATTCCCCATCCCATTCCCGATCCCATTCCCCATCCCATTCGGCTCCGGCCCCTTCAGCACCAGCGGCTCCGGCTCCGTCCCCTCCGCCCTCGCCGGTCCCGGCTCCGCCCGCGGCTCCGGCCCCAGCCCCGCCGCCGGTCCCGTCCTCGGCCGCAGCCCCAGCCCCGCTCGCGGTGCCGCCGCCGGCTCCGCCCGCAGCCCCGGCCCCATTCCCGGCTCCCGATCCCATTCCTGGGCTCATCCCGGCTCCCGTTCCCATTCCCGATCCCATTCCCGATCCCATTCCCGGCCCCGTCTCCTGTGGGTCCCATCCCCGGCTCCACCCGCAGCTTCTCCTCCCTCCTCGGCCCCATTCCCGATCCCATTCCCGGCTCCCCATCCCATTCCCCATCCCATTCCCGATCCCATTCCCCATCCCATTCCCGATCCCATTCCCCATCCCATTCCCGTTCCTAATCCCATTGCCGGCCCCATCCCCTCCCTGAGTTTCACGCCCGGCTCCACCCGCAGCTGCAGCCGCTGTCCCCATCCCTGTCCCCATCCCTATCCCCACCAACTCCAGCCCCATCCCCGCTCTGTCCCCATCCCCATCCCCACTGCCATTGCCCCCTGTCCCACCACCACTAGCAGCCCCATCCCTGTCCCCATCCCTGTCCCTGTCCCCGTTTCCAACCCCATTCCTGTCCCCATCCCCAGCCCCATCCCCAGCCCCATCCCTGTCCCTGTCCCCATTCTCAGCCCCATTCTCAGTCTCCATTCCCAGCCCCATTCCTGTCCCCTCCTTTCCCCATCCCCATCCCATCCCCAGCCCCATCCCTGTCCCTGTCCCCATTCCCGTCTCCATTCCCAGCCCCATTCCTGTCCCCTCCTTTCCCCATCCCCATCCCATTCCCATCCCCATCCCCATCCCTGTCCCCGTTCCTGTCCCCATCCCTGTCCCCTCCTGTCCCCTCCTGTCCCCATCCCCGTCCCCTCCCCGTCCCCTCCCCGGTGCTCCCGGCTCAGCGGGCGGCCTCCCGCCGTCTCCGCCGCTCGCCACCATCGCTCCCAAGGGCGACGAGGACCTGCTGGCGCTGGCCGCGTCGCGGCTGAGCCGCAGGAAGCGGGTGGCCGGCGTGGCCATCGGCGTGGCCATGCTGCTGGTGCTGCTGGTGGCCATCCCGCTGCTCGTGCACGGCTCCAAGGCGGCCGCGCACTACGAGATGCTGGGCAGCTGCCGCATGGTCTGCGACCCCTACCCCGAGCTGCCCCCCGCCTCCCCGCCGCCCTTCCTGCCCGGGGCCAAGGGCGAGCCGGGCCGCAAGGGCCGCGCCGGTCTCCGCGGGCCACCGGGGCCACCGGGACCGCGGGGACCTCCGGGAGAACCGGGCCGGCCGGGCCCGCCGGGACCTCCGGGACCGGGGCCGGGCGGGTACATCCCGTCCTTCTACAGCCCCAAAATCGCTTTTTACGCCGGCCTGAGGAAGCCGCACGAGGGCTACGAGGTGCTGCGCTTCGACGACGTGGTGACCAACGTGGGCAACTACTACGAGCCCTCGAGCGGCAAATTCACCTGCCCCCTGCCCGGCATCTACTTCTTCACCTACCACGTCCTGATGCGCGGCGGGGACGGCACCAGCATGTGGGCCGACCTGATGAAGAACGGGCAGGTAACGGGACCCCCCGCGGGACCCCCAGCCCGCTTTGCGGCCCCGCTTTTGGTTTGTTCAGCCCCGATTTTCACTGCCTGCTTTGCAGCCCCGGTTTTTTGGTTTTCAGCCCTCGGTTTGCACCCCCTGGTTTTCAGCCACGGTTTTCATCGCTGGTTTTCATCTCCCCCCCTCTTCTCCCCGGTTTTCACTCTCCGGTTTTCAGCCCCTGTTTTCATCGCTGGTTTTCATCCCCCGCTTTTCACTCCCTGGTTTTCAGCCTCGATTTTCACCCCCCGAGCCCCCCAGCCCGGTTTTCTTCCTCTGGTTTTCACCTCTGGTTTTCACTCCCTGTTTTCAGCCTCGATTTTCAACCCCCCAGCCCGGTTTTCAGCCCCCGATTTTCTCCCCCCGCTTTTCACTCCCTGGTTTTCAGCCTCGATTTTCAACCCCCCGAGCCCCCCAGCCCGGTTTTCTTCCTCTGGTTTTCACCTCTGGTTTTCACTCCCCGGTTTTCAGCCCCCAGCATTCACCTCCCGGTTTTCACTCCCGGTTTTCACCCCTGGTTTTCACCCCTGGTTTTCACCTCTGGTTTTCACCCCCCCAGTTCTCATCCCCCGGTTTTCTCCCCCTGGTTTTCACTTCCCGGTTTTCACTCCCTGTTTTTCACTCCCCGGTTTTTTTTTCCAGCAGCCTCGGGGTTGTTGTTTTGGCCCACGGTGGTTTCTCTGTTTTGGTTTGGGTGATTTTATGTTCTCAATCCATTCGTGATTTCCCATCCTCGGTTCTGCTCCATCCCAAATCCCCACATCCCGTTTCCCCCATCCAATCCCCCCACAAATTCCATCCTGCTTCCCCCATCCCTGATTTCTCATTCCCAGTTCCTCCCCAGTCCCACATCCCATTTCTCCCATCCAATTCCCTCCCAAATTCCCATCCAATCCCCTCCGTCCCTGACTCACCCACCCCAGCAGCCCCATTCCCATTTTCTCCGTCCCAGTTCCCATCCTGCTTCCCCAGTCCCTGATTTCCCATTCCCATTTTCTCCATCCCAAATCCCCACATCCCATTTCCCCCATCCAAAACCCCAAATTCCATCCTCCTTTCTCCAATCCCCGATTTCCCATTCCCATTTTCTCCATCCCAAATCCCCACATCCCATTTCCCCCATCCAATCCCACTTTTAAATTCCCATCCTTTTCCCATTCCCCGATTCCCCGTCCCCAATTCTGTTCCTTCCCAGTCCCACATCCCATTTTTCTCATCCAATTCTCTCCCAAATTCCCATTATTTCCTCCCATTCCCGCTTCCCCATTCCCAGATCCCATTTCCCCCATCCAATCCTGCCCAAATTCCCATTATTTTTCCCCATTCCTGATTCACCAGATCCCATTTCCCCCATCCAATCCTGCCCCAAATTCCCATCATTTCCCCCCCAATTTCACATCCTTTTTTTCCCCAAAATCCCCACCCTTTCCCCCCCAAATTCCCATAATTTTCCTCCCAAATTCCCAC